TGACCGTGTCGCTTCAAAAGTGCAATTTGGCTTCTGTTACCAACCCCAAATGAAGCCCACTCGACCTAAGTCAATCGCAATAGATCCGCGAGCATTAGATAATGCTTCATGCGAACGATCGGATCTGGTTCGTATCGCATTTAGTAAGCATGCATGGCAGTTTGATTCGTTTTCCCATTACGAGTATGCGATGAACGTGCGCAGTATTCTCGTGACTCACGATTGTCGATTGATTCGGTTCTCTGTTTTTTTTCAATTCCTTTCGCTATCACGATATTTTTCATTGTGAATTTTTCAGTATTTTACAGCTTGGAAAATTCGTGAGTACAAAGCAATATGGATGTGTTGAAGGCTGAAATTGAGAGGAAACGAAAACAGGTCAAAGATGTGGTAGATGAGGTATGCTATATGACTGCGGTTTCATTTTATTGGTAATTCGTTGATTATCACTTTTTTTGTAGTTATACTCGTTGAAATGATAATATTATAAATGAATCTGTTAACTGTTAACTTTACAATCCATTAATTTGTAAAACAGCGTTTAAATTTGTTAACACTGACGATCAAAACACAAAGTTTTTACGAATATTTTGCGCAAAATTGTCGGAAAATATATGTGGCATCCGGTTTTCACTTATTTATTTCACCTGAATATTTATTCTCATTTTGACGCTGTCATCTCGAACACTGAACCCAGACCTAGCATTAGCCAACTACTAGTATTTCATTGAAAATCTGAAAAATGTCTAGAGTCAGCCAATAAATTGATCAAATTTGATCCTATTCGCGTTAGTTATTCAGATTTTAATTAGTATAATAATAAATTCAGGTTTCTGGTAAGAAATATTTCAAGCGAGGTGAACTTGTTGAGAAGCAGAAGCAGGCGTATTGGCAGAAATATAATAGTAAGCACGGCTTGTGCGTACAATCAACCAGTAGCACCGTACGTTTTGTTGCACTGCTTAATAATATTTCTATCCTCAATATCATTATTACCATTCCATTGACATCCACAACCGTGTGATATTTCCATGTTCTGATTTATTCCGGTTCATTTAGTTTCATGTAATTTTTCGAAATCACTGACATGTTGTGGTAGCACACTGGATATTTTGTTCGATTGTTCAATAAAATAGGCTGGCAACTTGTTATAGTACCACGCTGGATATATATGTTTAGTCTGATTGCTCAGTCGCGGTTATTAATAACTTGTCAGATCTGCTGTGAATGATTGCAATAGAACAATTTTCAAATTTTGATTAACTTAGCACGCTGGAAATGATAAATAACCTATCGAAAAATACAGAACGAAGCAGTCAGTGATAACGACTCAAAGAAAGATACGAATCATGAAAGCAAGGAGATCATTGATGAATCCGATGATCTTTCTCGAGCCGAAGTTATTCGACGCCTGCGTACCAGAAGTCAGCCGATCACTCTGTTCGGTGAATCCGAATCTGAATCAAGGGCGCGTTTACGGAAACTTGAAATTGAACAGGTTCTTTTCTGCTCGATTACATTTTACTATCGTTTTAGTGAAATTTTCATTGGCAATGAAGAATGCCTTCTTTTCTTTTCGTTTCATATCGTTTGAGTGCTATTTTCTTGACAACTATCCTGTTGCTTTTTTTGTGAAATTCAAGCAATATCTCGAAGAATTGTGTTCCTATTGCTTACTCAATGTCTTCACGGATCATTCAATCATTCGGTTTGATCAAAAGCTGATACTTTAGTCTTTCTTGTTAACTCAACCTATCTGAATTTAATCAGTCTTCGAATGCAAATACACAATCATAATACCAAGCTAGCATTATCTAGTAGCTGAGACCTTGTTGAGCAGATACATTTCGATTTCAGCCTGACATGAAAGAGGGATGGAAGAATGATTTTCAATCGGCAATGAGAGAAGTGGATCATGAACTTGTTGAAGAAGTTATTAAAGGCGAGCAAAATAGTGCAGGTTTGCAGGATTAAGATTTCGTGCATGTCCAGTGTGTTTGTTGGGCCTTCTTCTCGTATTCGTACCTTGTGACTTTCAGTGTTTACTTTGTTATTAGTCTGTTGTTGGTTCTTTATTAATATTTTAAAATCTACAGGAAAACATGATGTTGATATGCCTGGAACAGCTGAAGACACAGACTGGGAGAGAATCGAGGCGAACGCCCAGTTGTTGGGTGAAGGTGATAATCCCAACCGAGACTGCGATATCATTCGAGAGTTTTTCAATTACATTTTAACACGTTGGGGTAAAGCGTTGAATGCACGTGATGAACTCAAGAAAAGGTTTGTTTTTGATCATTGCTGGCACAATCAATGGTTGTTCTTAGTCATGAATATTGACTAAGACTGTCATCACCAATATTGACTGTTATTTGCATTTTTACTGTCATGAATACTCGAATGGTCATCTTCATGATATTGGTGCATCATTCATCATTTTTTGCTAGTATGTTATGATTGGTTGCGTGCTTGATTCGACTTAATTGATTGTTTACCAGATAATGAATGAGGTTAGAGGCAGTTAGCATTGGTGTTAAAATTGTTTTGATTAGTTTCTTATTGTAAATGTTACATCATATACTGAAAACACTTTCGAAGGCACGACGAAAATTTTTGTTAATCCAGTAAATTTCCTTAGACGCAGAGGAATGATTATTTGAGGTCTGCGGAAGGGAAGCTAGCCGCTACAATGCACAAACAAACAATGGAGCATTTACGACCCTTGTTGACCAGTCTTGAAAGGCATACAACGAATACGGATATCCGGGAACATATTGTCAAGATATGTCGATTAATCATCATCGAACGTGATTACATTAGGTATGTCGTTTGATATTCGACTGGGATGAACTCTTCATAGTTGTGTCCTATTTCATGTGCAGAATTGTTCTGTTGATGATTTATTTCTAATTTTCATCCGGTTCCCTTTTTGTTGTTCATCCCGTCGTAGTGATGGCGTAACGATTGCGCTAAAATGAAATATTTTTTGTTTTTGTAATTTGAATGTCATCGTTTGAAGAAAATTATTTATCGTGCATTCTGCAGGTATTTGATTTTTTCATGAACGTGAGATAATGTGATTGATAGTAATGATGATGATATTATTATTGACACTTCTGTATTTAAGAGCCAATAACGCGTACATGGAAATGGCGATAGGGAATGCCCCCTGGCCCGTTGGTGTTACTCGATCTGGTCTACATCAAAGGCCTGGATCAGCAAAAGCTTATGTTTCGAATATTGCACATGTTTTGAATGATGAAACTCAAAGAAAATACATTCAGGTACTATTCTTCAACATCATCCTTCTATGATCGTTAATTCAGTAGTATCTCCATTTTTGTTGGATGAATGTGTAAATGGAAGCCTTTTGGGAAATGATTAATCGAATATTCCAGGCGTTTAAACGTATAATGTCGCTATGTCAACGTTATTTTCCAACGGATCCGAGTAAATGTGTCGAATATGTCCGAAATGATCCGAATTTGAATGTCGAGTGATTAACTTCGCAAGATTCAAGTGATCGCATTCATAATATACTTGTGCTGCGTTTTCTTGTAGATAAATGATGTTCTCTTGATCGTAGCATTCATACCAAAGAATTTTTCCGTTATTGTTTTTAGTCCAATCGACTTGGTTTCGTTATCTTATCTCAACTGCTGTCACGATTGTTA